CCTTCCGAGGAGTGGCTGGTGGGTTTGAACCACCAGCCCTCTGGTTAGCAGTCAAGTGCCTCAGCCACTATGCTACCAGAGCTCCCGGTAGGAACCGTAGGGAGCAGTGAATTTATGTTAATGGGGGAAGAACAACTCAGCAAAGAAGGGTGAGAATGGTTGTACAACTCACAGAATGTAATCAACGTCACTGAGCTGTACATCTAGAAACTGTTGAATTGGTGTATGTTTTATTGTGTATATTCTCAACAAAAGTAACAAAATAAATTTAAAATTTTAAAAAGCAAGTTGCAGAGGAGTATATATAGATCCATTCATATGACGTGCAAAACCAAATGACATGTTATTTTAGATACGAGCAAGTAGTAAAACTAAAGAAAAGCAAGGGATAAACATAAAAACCAGGACAATGGTCATCTCTGAGGTTGGGAAAGGGACATGACTGGGGAAGGCATGGAGGCTAGTCCCCAGGGAAGGGGAGGTAATGTTCTCCTCCTTGAACTGTGTGTGAGGGGGTGACTGTTGCATCATTATTCTCTATAGCTTAAGTGGAAAAACTTTGTGTGTCTGTTCAAAAAACTACTAAAAAAGGTGAGGTAGCAAAAAGAACACAGGGTGACCAAGAGCACAGATTCAGGCCACACAGGCAGGAATAGAAAGTGATTTATTTTTAGTTTGGGTAATTAGGACCTATACATATCAAAGCTGCACTGAAGGAATTGGCAAAGAACAAGGCTCCAGGAATTGACAGACTATCCATTGAGATGTTTTAACAAACTTATGCTGCTCTGGAGGCACTCACTCGTCTATGTCGAGAAATTTGAAGACAGCTGCCTGATGACCTGACTGGAAGAGATCCATATTTGTACCCATTCCAAAGAAAGGTGATCCCCCAGAATGTGGAAATTATCAAACAATATCAGTAATACCACACGCAAGTAAAACCTTCCTGAAGGTAATTCAAAAATGATTGCAGCAGTACATTGAGAAAGAACTTCCAGAAATGCAAGCTGGATTCAGAAGAGAATGTGGAATGAGGGATATCATTGTTGATGTTAGATGGATTTTGGCTGAAAGCAAATACCAGAAAGATGTTTACTTGTGTTTCACTGACTGTGCAAAAGCATTCAATTGTGTGGATCATAACAAACTATGGATAACACTGAGAAGAATGGGAATTCCAGAACACTTGATTATACTCATCAGGAACCTCTATATAGACCAAGAGGCTGTCATTTGAACAGGACAAGGGGATACTGCATGGTTTAAAATCGGGAAGGGAGTGCATCAGGGTTGTATTCTTTCCCCATACTTATTCAATCTGTATGCTGAACAAATAATCTAAGAAGCTGGACTATATGAAGAAGAATGTAGCATCAGGACTGGAGGAAGCCTCATTAACAACCTATGATATGCAGACGACACAACTTTGCTTGCTGTTGCTGAAAGTGAGGATGACTTGAAGCACTTACTGATGAAGACAAAGACTTCAATCTACAGTATGGATTACATCTCAACATAAAGAAAATGAGCCTCACAACTGGACCAATAAGCAGCATCACAATAAATGGAGAAAAGATAAGTTATTAAAGACTTCATATTACTCGGTTCCATAATGAACATCCATGGAAGCAGCAGTCAAGACATCAACCGACGTATTGCACTGGGGAAATCTTCTGCAAAAGACCTCTTTAAAGTGCTGAAGAGTAAAGATAGCTCTTTGAAGACTAAGATATGCCTAACCCAAGCCATGGTATTTTCAACTGCCTCATATGCATGTGAGAGCTGGATAATGAACAAGGAAGACCGAAGAAGAGTTGATGCTTTTGAGTTGTGGTGTTGGCGAAGAATACCTAAAGTACCATGGACTGCCCAAAGAACAAACAAATCTGTCCTGGAAGAAGTGCAGCTGGAATGCTCCTTAGGCACAAGAATGGCCAGATTTCATCTCACCTACTTTGGTCATGTGATCAGAAGAAATCTTTTCCTGGAGAAAGATAACATGCTTGGTAAAGTGGAGGGTCAGAGAAAAAGGGGAAGGCCCTCAAGAAGCTGCATTGACACAGTGGCTGTAATGATGGGCTCACATATAGCAAGGATTGTGAGGCTGGCACAGGACCGGGCAGTATTTTGTTCTGTTGTACATAGGGTTGCTTTGAGTCAGAGCCGACTTGACAGTACTTAACAACAACAACAACATACATACATATGGCTAGAATCCCTGTGCAGCTTCTTTCAAACTTTCAGCCAAAACTAGCTAATGCTTATTCCTTCTGCCCTACCTCTGACAATGTTTCATAGTAAATTTTGTGACCTCATATACTGCCCCTACTACCCTATTTATTTATTTATGCGGGTCTGTCTGGTGTAGTAGTTAAGGCATTTGGCTGCTAACTAAAAGGTTGGTGGTTCAAACCCACCAGATGCTCCGTGGAAGAAAAATGGGGCAATCGCTTAAGTAGAGATTTACAGCCTTGGAAACCCAATGGGGGTCACTATGAAGTGGAATCCATTCAATGGCAGTGAGTTTTAGTTTTTTTTTTTTATTATTATTTAATCCTCTCTATTTAGATAAACTGGGAAACAATCATACTTGAGCTTACTTGAGATTTCATTCATTTGTATGTTGCTAGGCTAACAAAACGCCCATTTGGTAAACGGTGCTAAAGCATTATAATACCTATTCTCATTTTTGTCCTCATGACTAGAATTTCTAGAAACTTTGCATTTTTCCTTCTTTGTTACGGAATATAAATAGACGTGAAATTCAGTATAAAGAAGGAAGAAGAACTAAAGTTCTTGTGTATGCTTTGAATCCGTCATTATTGCCCTTGGTATCTTCTTGTAAGGTACTCTGGGAACAGTGATTAAAACTGACAAGACAGTTGTGTTCTTACATTAACAGCTCTTTACTGGAAAGCGAATGTAAATTACACTAGACTCATCTCTTCTCTCACTGTGCTCTCCCCTTGCCCATTTTTCAGGGAGACTGAATTACTGAGGGGCCAGAAAGTAATGGTGCCATTGATCTCCTTACTGCCACTGAGGCACACTACAGTTCTGATTCAGCTAGACCTGACTTACTCTATCTTGAAGACATCTTCCCCTAGATATTACAGAAATTTACACCTAATTTCTGACCCACCTTTTTTTTTCTCTCAAATACACCACTAAAGAAGTGTTTCAATAATTCTTAAGGTAACAAGAGATTTTAAAATAAAATACAAATTCAGGCACAATAAGAGAAAAGAAATTTTAAAGAAAATATTTGAGAAGGATGCCAGAAATCATGTAAATCAACTTTGAATGGAGCGATAGTGGGCCCAGAAAAGAAGGGGTGAGTGAGAAAGAATTGTTCTTAAAATGAAAGAATCAATGTTGAGAGACATTATATGGCATGGGAATCACTTGTTCTAACATAAAGGTGACTTTGTTTATACCTGTTGTCCTAGCATTATATTAACAATGCCTCCTTTCACCCTCTAAAGTGTCCTAGTTTAGTTTAGACAGTAAATGATAAGGTCATCCTAAATATTCTGCATAAATTCATAGAGGCCTTCTTATTGCCAGAGAAGGAAAGGAAATTGAAGGGTGAGTTTTTGTCCTAAGACATACTTCCCTAAAGAATGGACACTCCATACCATACCATTCTCTTTCCATCTTACTTCAAAACTGTGTTTCTCAGCCCATCTCCTGGTGTGGGAAT